ATAAAGTGCATTATTGTGCTGTGCAAGTTTTAGAAGCAGGTCTGCTTCTCCAACGTGCTTCACAGTCGAGATAAATGAGACAGCGCTTATGGAGGACCGTGGCTGCCAAAACAATAAATAAATACAGAAATAAATAAATAACTGCAGAAATAAATACATAAATAGAGAAAAAAATCAATAAATAGAGGAATAAATAAATAAATGCAAAAATAAATAAATAAATGCTAAAATAAATAAATAGAGAAATAAATAAAATAATAGAGAAATAAATAATTAAATACAAAAATAAATACAGAAAGAGAAATAAATGTATAAATGCAGAAATAAATGAATATATAAATAAATATATAAATACAGAAATACAGAAATAAATGCACTTATTCTCATAATTGCATGCATTTATTTGCAAGTTTTATATTTTTAAAATCTTTTTATTTATTTATTTATTTCTGTATATATTTATTGTTTTGGCAGCCACGGTCCTCCATAAGCGCTCGCTACGCAAAAAACAGACGGACACAATATGGAATATTAAAAAAATTCAGAAGTGACCGAACAATGCTGCCGCGTTAGCATATCAAAACAAAGCAGTAGACAAAACAATGGACGTTGTTTTAGCAGTATTATCATTATTATTATTATTATTCCCCCACTGTAGGAGCCAATAAACTTTTCAATATTTTTGAATTTTGAGCGTTTCCAATTGTATTTAAAAATGGGAAACCTAATTAAACAATCATGAATTGAGCTTTTCCGATCTTATTTTACACTGATTCCTTTGATCATTTTTTTCTTAAAGTTCAAGTTATAAAAATGCTATGTTTGAGTTGGTTATTTACATTTTAACTGTGAGTGACGGCGGGACAACAATGCACAATGACGCACGCGTTCTGAATAGAATAATATGTATTAATATCTCTAAAACTATAAGAGCATATTCGAGTTTTACAACAAAAACGACGTCATATGCGTGTCCATTATGCGTAAAAGCACAGTGCCCTCAGCAAAACCACGTATTTGGAAAAACTATAGGCTAACAGATGTAGTAGCTCTAGTTTCAATCGTCCTCATTTTATTCAGTCAGACTTGTCAAATATAGATGCCCATGGGAGAGTGAGCAAGGGGAGATAACATGCCCATAACATGCCCAAAAATATCCTGCATAGACTCAAGCTGCGATCAGCTGAAATATGAGCACACAAAGAGTGAGAGGGAAAAAGAAAAGTAAATAGGCGTAGGCTAGTTAGTATTTTTTCTCTCACAAAAGTTGGCGCGGATCATATGCCATCTTTCGTGGAGGAGGAAACATCAAACATCAAAGGGCGCACGCGGGGAACAGCGGGACTTGTCTCGTTGTTGAAGTCCCGATGTTCCCCCACTTCTATTGGCGGGGGAACATCGGACCCGGGGAACATCGGGACTTTTTAATACGCGAAGTACCGATGTTCCCCGGGTCCGATGTTCCCCCGCCTATAGAAGTGGGGGAACATCAGACCCGGGGAACATCGGACCCGGGGAACATCGGTACGCACCCGCCCATGGTCATCACTGGTTAGCCATTAGCTTAAGCACACTGTACAGTGTATACAACGCACAAAATGGCGGCCGAAACGAGTACATTTTATAAGTCCAGCAATACCGGACTGGTCCTAAAATATTCTCCCCTCAGGATTGACACACATGTGGAACTTTGATGTGCGCCATGTGCTGACCGGAGGTCATGGCTGTTTACGCGGTTAATGTGTCCCGTGAAGAAAATATGAATATAAACTACATGATCATTTCTTTGTCATGAATCAAAACACAAGTGGTATACCAACGGAATATTGTCACAAAAATCTAAGGTAGAACACAGCTCAATGGTTGCTGTAAAATCAGTTCTTGTTTTGAAAAGTGTGGCCATTCCTAGCTCCATGGAAGCCATGACACTTTGCCCCAGTCTGGTTCAGGGGAAAGGGCCGATAACGTTTTATATATTTAATATTCATTGTTTAGTAACTGAGCCTTGAAACAAAATATTAAATCATCAAATGTCATGTGAAATTGTTTTATATGTCATGCCTCTTAAATGTTCACTCCTTACTAAATCTAACCTAGCTGTTTGCTTACTTCGCAGCATGCTGGGGATGACGCAGCAATTTTAATACCGTTTTACATTATAATTGCATTGTAGTTTCTATTTCAAACAAACGTCAAATATTTACATGAAACCCACTACATTAATCACCTAAGGTAGATTTAGTCTTGATAGTGTGATGGTACAAAGTTGACATGTCTTTCTAAAGGTTTGTTTTTGCCGTAGCCTGTTTTTACTGTTAGCGCTAGCATACACAGTAACGGCTCTCCCATGGTGAGGCAAATAAGCTATGAGCAGGTTATATACACGCACATAAACACATTCATGAAATACAATAGAGATATCTCATGTGACGTCACGATGCCTCGAACTCGCGGGGCATCAGCCATACTGGAGGACAAGCAAACGCTGTATGATAGTGGCGTGCACCCGGGACTGCATAAACATGTTCAACATTTTTGCCGTTTTTGGCTGCAGCAAAAGGAGAGACAGGGAAAATAAGTTGTGTTACCGACTGCCAGCTGTCCTTACTTCACACGGCTCAAAAACAGAAGACATCTCAAAGAAACGAGAGAGAAATGGCACAACCATACGCAACAACAAAAAACTAATAGCCACCAGAGCGCCCGAATATGCTCGGATCATTTCATTTCTGGCTGGTGCTATGAGACTTGGGTGGCATCTCTGATTGCCACCCCCCTGACCCAGAAATGGATTAAAGGGTAGAAAATGGATGGATGGATGGCATTTCATTTCTGCTAAGTGAAATCAATTTGATGGCGGATTTAGTGTTATTCCGAAACAAACAGAAGTTTAAGGATAAAACATATCTGTCTGACTGCAACGTGGGGTTGCTCCATAGACTGTAGCTTAGCTTGTAGCATAGCTGTTATATATTTGGTCTCACACAGGACCTGACCCGGTTCACAGGGTATCTGACTTACCGAAGGCCAGCAGACATGTGAACGACTGAGCCGTGCTCGAGGGTGCCCCGTACTAGTATTTATTAATAAAATATACGGCTCCTCACAGTAGACGCAGAAAGCTCCATAATGTAATCTCATTATTTCCACTGCAGTGTAGCCACACATAGATCCATGGTGTAACAATAAACACATTAAATGTTAATCTGAGAATACATTATACATATACATTCTTAATACACGTGCACGGAGGTTTTCAGAATTTTCTGTTCACGTTTTCATGAAAAAACACTGTTTTAATGCGACAATATGCGACCGCGGTAAACCTGGATGTAACAATAAACATTAATAATACATTTTAGGACGCATTTTCAGAGGATCTGATTCATGAATTTAGGTTGAGTATATATTTGGGTCACTAACTGCTGAAGTTTCAAATTCTCTCTTCAGTTTTCATGTAGTTCGAGAGAGTTCTAGTTCTAGAGAGTTCTAACAGGGCTGTTACTCGCCGAGGTTGTCCTCCTGTATGGCTGCCGTGGCTGCTAGTCACGTGACCGTAGGATCCCTCTATAGTATGTCTTCAACCAGTTTGTTAGAAAGAAATGTTTTACTAATTACCAATTATCTTTTATCAGATAAGTGTTTTTCACCTAGCCTGGTTGTACCACACCTTAGTACAAATTTCATTTCATACTAAGGTCTGGATTTGCTCCATTGAGCTCCGTGAACAGATGGGAGGGGTTAACTCCTTTTGCTGATTGAAACGATTGGATGTGATTTTACCGTGACATATGTAATGCGCCCATGTGAGTTGTTAGCGTTAGCATTAGCATTTAGCCTAGCCATCTCCTTTGCCTCTAACGGAGCCCGTGGGGAGTAGCGCCACAATCTTGGCCAGCGATTACATTTGCTAAACATTCCTCTTGCTCCTGCTTCAATTTCTTGATAGAACCAGACCGGATTACTTTACTATCGCATTCTTCGCCATTGCCAAACTTCAACCTGCCTGTTCGGCGCAAACTCTTGACGTCATCGCCACCGACCTACAACGCGCTCTCTGAGTAGTCGGTCGAAATACGACCGATTGTAATCGCTAACACAGGGACCAGACCCAGACATTTTATGCAGTGAAATGATGATTGAGCGGAGTGTACGGATGGCTATGGCCAGGCTATTTTTCACCTAATCATTGAATATAAATGTATTCTTAAATAGATTTTTTTGTTGTAAAGCACCAGAAAACTCTTAGGGAGAGCCTGTCACATTCGTATAAAAAAAACATAGTGGGTAAAACACTATTTTTCATCGGAAAAAGAGGTGCTAAGAGTCATAGTGGTCTTGTTTACCACAGCTGTCACGAGTGAAATGTAGGAGGACCCAGAATGTGCAAATCCAAAAATAATAATAATAATTTCATGAAGATAAATGAAAGATAACAAACTCAAAATCCAAACGGGTGGAGTTAGAACATTCAAAGACATTAACAATGGACCAGTAACAAGAAAAGTACATACAGGCTGTGTCCAAAACGCTAGGCATCAGGCCGCGTAGGGTGGATATGTAGGCTCGTGACGTCACTTCCTCAAGCGACGGCTATTGCAGGGGTGTCCAAAACCACTTGGCGAGCTCGCCAGCGTAGGCATCGTGACTTCGTCTCTATGGAAACGGCCACTTTTGGAGCAGATATGAAGGATGCATCTGATGTATGCTTCGCTGCCTTCCCCGCATTGAGTTCGCGGGGTTTTATTTTCAGTATGGAGGCACCAGCAGCAGCTACCCCTGTCCCCACTGTAGTGTATAAATGTAAGTATATTTCATATTATAATATTCTTACATGACTAATAACACTTATAAAGAAATATTATTTGAATTTTAAGCGACGAATTGCGCTATTTCATTTGTTTTAGAGTGTTTTCTTCTGTGGCATATGATAGCTTAGTTGTAACTGTAACTAAATTAGTATTGTCACAATTAGTTATATTTTATTCCTTTATGTAGTTTTAACGTTTTATTTTGTTCATAGGGACGAAGGAGATGACGGAGACCTTCATAAGGGTGCGGGCGGAGAACGACGTCCTCTTCACTGGGGCGAAGTTCTCCGCCAGCACGGCCTGGAGGTACGAGCTGTTTGAGAAATGTCACTGTTTAGCTTATGATTAATTTAGGTTATCTGGAATTGACTTTAGGACTGCATATTTTGTTCTTAATGTGAGTTTAATACTTTATATATACATGGGTATACAAGGGTTTAGACAAGCTGGTGCTATTCTCAAATACAACAGTCATCATTATTAAAAATCTATAATTAAGTTGTAGAAGAGTATATCAATCATAACAAAAGAACAAAAATGAGAAACGTATAACTATTGTTTTCTGCATTAACATGATCAATAATTTCAGGAATTCTCTAACACATAAAGTAAGTTTTTCTGTTTCTTTATTTTATTGTTTCTGTCTTTTCTATAGGACTATCCTGGAAAAGCTTGACCTGCAGGAGGTGGTTACGTCCCTGCAGGCCCGTAAGAAGTGGGACAATTTGAAAAAAAAAGTATAAAGTATGAAAATCAATCTTGTTTTTGTGAGTTTGTCACGTGTGTGTGAGTGTGTCTGCATGTGTGTGAGTGTGTCTGCATGTGTGTGAGTGTGTCTGCCTGTGCCGACATGAGCCCATCATGACTCCACATATATTTCTTATGTTAAAGGACTGTAAATGCCCTGGAACAGGCCAGGGCGTGGAGGGGAACCCCACTGCTGGGACTTGGCCCTGGTTTGGCATCATGGATGAGGTGTTGGGGCAGAAGCCGTCCATCAACCCTCCTGTCCTAATCGCCTCCATCCCTGATGCCAGACCAGAGCCAAGCCAGGCCAGAGAGCAGGAGGCGGAGCAGCAGAGAGGAACGGGAAGGAAGAGGAAGAGGGAGAGCGAGCTGGTGGAGCTGTACAGGGAGGATCTGAGGATGCAGAGGGAGGAGGATGAGCGGCGGGCACAGGAGAGGAGTGCCAATTTTGACAGGCTGTTTGGCCTCCTCGAGAAGCTGATTGAAAATAAAAACAAATAAAAAAATGTGTTTGATTTACATTTCGAAAAAGCCCATAAAAGTATAACATACATTTGAAATGATATAGATCAAGGTATAGATCAAGACTCCCACTGATGACTGCTGTCGTTGTGTCCTTGGGAAAGACACTTAACCCCACTTTGCCCAAAGCCCCCACTGAAAGATCAAGGCTATGCTCACAGTCAGAGAGCAGCCGTCCTCCTGTGGACTCACCACCTGCAGAGGGTCAGTGAGGGGCTGGTGCTATGAGACTTGGGTGGCATCTCTGACTGCCACCCCCCTGACCCAGAAATGGATTAAAGGGAAGAAAATGGATGGATGGATGGATATAGATCAAGGTCTCAAGGTCTTCACATTAATAGATTAAGCCGTAAGTAAGTTAAATAAATTAATATCTATTTACTTTGGGACTTTCTCAGAGTGAATTTGGTGGGGCCATATCTAAGGCTTCCAACCTGAGAACATTTGGCAAACCACAGCTCTGATGTGTTGGGGATTTTAAAAACAAATGTGTGTTTGTCTACCCAACAGTGGCTTTACATTTCCCCTTGAAGGTGTGTATGATTGGTTAATTTCTTTATGTAATTTCTATATTTTGTATATACACAGATTTTATACACTTGTTTGATGGGACAAAAAACCCCTGGTAAATGTGTGAAGCAGTTCGAGAGCTCAAGTATTATTTTGTGGAATCAAAAATATAGCACAAGAAAATCAATGTAACCATTTATTCAACAAACAATAAAATAAAACTATTAACAAGCCATACAGGATAAACCTGAGAGTGCCAGTGCTGTGTGGCTAAGCAGGGACTCGTTTGGAGTGTTGCTCTATCCCATTCTCCAGGACCAGCAACATGGATGTGTGCAGAGATCAGGGTCCTGGTCTTCCTCTTCCGGCGAGTGAGGCATCATACCGGGGGTGTGTCCACTTCATCGTCCATTTGTTGGGTTTGCACGGCTGGCTGGGGCAATAGATGGCTGCCATGTCCTATAAAAAGATGGTATAAAAAGATTCACATTTGTTTAAAAAATAAAACATTTTATACACACAAGTGAATGAATGTGTGACAAAGTGACTTGTCTGTGGATTTGTTTGGACAACTTCACACATATTTACATAAGTAATTAATTGTTTAAATACCTAAGGTACTCATGGTGCATTTGCACCTCCTCCAGGGCAGACATCTCAGCAGACAGACGGTCTCTCCACTGCGCTGCTGAGACGGTGTCCTCCTCCCCCTCATCCTCCTCTGTGTTGTCCTCTGGGGCCACAACATCTCCAACCCCAAGGCAGATGTTGTGAAGGACAGCACAAGCGGCGATGACCTGAAAAAGCTGCAGTATTAATTACATGGATAAAGACATATTATGATAAATACTGTATTCTGAAGTGAATTACAGGAAGTTGAAAATGTTTGAAAGTTTGCAAACATGGTTATCACTTACATTTGGTGCAAAGGTGTGGTGCACCTCCAGGGTGTGAAAGAAGATGGCCCGGAACCTCTTCTTCATCATTCCAAAGGCACGCTCAATAAAAGGTGTGGTGCACCTCCAGGGTGTGAAAGAAGATGGCCCGGAACCTCGTCTTCATCATTCCAAAGGCACGCTCAATAATGGAGCGTGCCCTAGAATGATGAGCGTTGAAGCGCCGGGCCGCCACACCCTGCACCGGCCGCTTGTAGGGAGTGATGAGGGGGAGAGGACGCTGGAGGCAGGGATACAGCCCTCTGAGGTACAGAGGGCTGTAGCGGAGGACCCTGGAGTCGTGGACTGACCCAGGCCAGCCCACGTAGATGTCCATGAAGCGGCCCTGATGGTCACACAGCGCTTGAAGAATTATGCTTGCGAAAAGTTTCCTATTCTGGAAGCATTGACCATCAGGGCCGCCTGGAGGCTTGATCGCGACGTGACAGCCATCTATTGCCCCAGCAGCTCTTGTGAAGACCTCGCTCCTCGCCAGCCGTGCAAACCCCCGGGTCACTGTCTGCAGGTCTTCAGGGGTGGATGACTCGGTGGCGTAGTGCCACCACCTCCCCAGTGACCCGGTGGACAATGAAGTGGACGGTGGATCTGGGCATCCCAAAGACCCGGGACACCACCCGGTATGATGCCCCACTAGCCAGCCAGAAAAGGAAGACCAGGACCTCAATCTCTGCACCCCATCCATGGTGCCGGTCCTGGTGCAGGAGGTTCAGCAACACACCAAACGAGTCCCTGCTCAGCCGAAAATCTGGACGCAAATCTCCATCATTAAAAAAACTGTCCAGCACTGGCACCCTCAGGTTTACCCTGCAGTAAGGACTCCTATCCTGTTGGAAAAACAAATACAAAAAGTGAATGTGTCATTCCAGATTTTGTAACTACTCTTTATAAATAATGTATGTACATAATGTATGTATAATATAATCATTTTTTATATGCAATAGGTTAAGATCATTAGTTAAAACGTGGGCAGTGGTGACCTCTATTGGTAATGAGTATTGTTGCAATGTTTTTGATGACTATTCATTGAATTATGTGTAATGCTAGCTCTATTAAAACAAAGGAAAACGTTTTAACTTTAGCACCATTGGTCTTTGTTATGTTTAGTACATCTGTAACAATTTCATGCTAACCATTTTTGACTGTCAAAACAGTATAATCTCGTATAAAAAACGTAACTTACATTGTTGGTGCGCAGAAGGACCACTCGTCGCCTGCGTGCGTGCCTGTCTCTTTCGAGCTCATTGAATAAGTTTAAAATAATGAAAAACAAAATTGCTAACTCAGGATCCATCCTTACAACAACAAAAACTGAATTTGCACACAGCGGAATGCACGCAAGCAGCGGGAAATGTGTGGCGGGTTAGTCTTATTTTATGTATTTTTTGTATAATTTCTTAAAAACTCGATTCACATGTATTATAACCTTAGCTATCTAATCATGAACGTAATATTAAATATAACAGTAGCCAGATAGTGAAATGATATTTTGTAAGATCCATCCACTAACTTTGAATACACACATAGGACCAACGTACTTATTTATTTTTATTTTTGTATCAATCTTGATCATTGAATAGTTTACAAAGCCGTGTTAAAGAGTACAGTACTCAAATGTAATCCATAGTTAATCATTATTTTCAAAGAGAATAATTAAAACAATAATGCAGTCAATACAAAAAGAATTCCATATGGGAAGATAAGAGATCCTTTATTTGTCCCACATTTCAGTGTCCAGTGTTGTGCATGTGACTACTCAAGAGAATGAAACAACATAAAAGAAATCTTTCATTTAAGAAAAACAATGTCATCAAATGTCTTAACATTAGAGAGCCCTTAACTCAATTCAATTTCAATTATTACTGTACAGTTTTGCAAATATTTATAATGTGATAGACATGCACAGGGTCAGCAAGCATTACTCATTGTACAGTCTGATTGCATGAAGAAGTAACTCAAGGGTGTAGTGAGTCTCAAATGAGAAGTTCTTTATTAAATCATGAGCAGATGGAATCAATCCTGGCAACGATCAGACTCTTCATTCTGTAATTACATAAAAAAAGAGTAGAAACAAATTAATGACAACAAATACAATATTTTGTCTTATACTCCTGCAGTAGTTGTGGTTGTTAACTGCTATAATAATTAGACATCAGGGCAGAATGTGTATGTAATTTTTGTTTACAAAGTACACTTATCAGCAGTCCTTATACTAACAATAAGTTAGCTTTTGACTTCAGACAATTGTAATATACACAAATCCAAGTTATTAATCTGTTTTCAAAAAACATGTTTCAACAAATATAATGCAACTTACTTATATACACAAAACAGATGAGCAAGGGCCATACAAATATATTGATTACAGTGCGTGCATAATTATTAGGCAAGTCAGTATTTCGATGACATTGTCCATTCTATACATATTGTCAAGCTCTAATCTGTATAATCTTGAATGCCAATCGATTTTAAGAATACCAGGTGAAGTGCATTTTAATAATGAGCGAGGGCGTGGCCTAAGGAGATCAAAATTCTACATCAGGTGTGCACAATTATTAGGCAGCTTCTTTTTCTCAGGCAAAATGGGCCAGAAGAGAGATCTCACAGACTCTGAAAAGTCCAAAATAGTCAAATGTCTTGCAGAGGGATGCAGCACTCCTGAAATTTCCAAGATCTTGAGCGGTGATCATAGAACCATCAAACGCTTTGTTGCAAATTCCCAACAAGGACGCAAGAAACGTGTTGAGACAAAAAGACGCAAAGTAACAGCAAAAGATATGAGGAGAATCAAGCGTGAGGCTACTAGGAACCCATTATCCTCCAGTGCAGTCATATTCCAGAACTGTAAACTACCTGGGGTGTCCAGAAGTACAAGGTGTTCCGTACTCAGAGACATGGCCAAGGTAAGAAAGGCTGAAAAAAGACCCCCACTGAATAAGACACATGAGATAAAGCGTCAAGACTGGGCCAAGAAATATCTGAAGACAGATTTTTCAAATGTTTTATGGACTGATGAGATGAGAGTGACTCTTGATGGACCGGATGGATGGGCCTGTGGTTGGATCAGTCATGGGCAGAGAGCCCCACTCCGGCTCAGGCGCCAGCAAGGTGGAGGTGGAGTACTGGTGTGGGCTGGTATTATTAAAGATGAGCTGGTTGGGCCATTTAGGGTTGAAGATGGACTAAAACTCAACTCCTAAACTTACTGTCAGTTTCTAGAAGGAACTTTTTTTCAAGCAGTGGTACAGGAGAAAGCCTGCATCATTAAAAAAGACCATGATTTTCATGCAGGACAATGCTCCATCTCATGCATCCAAATACTCCACTGCTTGGCTAGCCAGTAAAGGCCTAAAAGAAGGAAAAATTATGACATGGCCCACTTGCTCACCTGACCTTAACCCAATTGAGAACTTGTGGGCCCTTATTAAACGAGACCTTTACAGGGAAGGAAAGCAGTACACCTCTCTGAACAGTGTCTGGGAGGCGTTGGTTGTTACGGCACAAAAAGTTGATCGTCAACAGATCAAGAAACTGACTGACTCCATGGATGGCCGGCTTTTGAGTGTTATTGAAAAGAAGGGTGGCTATATTGGCCACTGATGTTCTGTTGTTAAAACTTTAGCAGTATTTTTGTACATTAGGAGTTGTTTTATTATTATCATTACTTAAACAAATGAAAATGAATAGATGAGTTGAGATAACTTTGATTTTCATTGAGCTGCATAATAATTGTGCACACCAATAATTGTGAACACACAGATATATATTTTTTGTATTTTTATGATTGGCAACAACTCACTTTTACTTTTTGGAATATCTACATTTGGGATGTATCAACATTTTGCATTGATCAAAAGCATCAATAATTGAATAAATCCTCAAAAATAAAACTTGCCTGATAATTCTGCACGCAGTGTACATTAAAAAAGTGCTAAATCTACATAATGCATATATATAATGGAACTAGTAATTATACCATTTATTATAACAAAGAAAATCCCTCATTGCCTTCACTTAGGGTTGTCTTGTTTTCATATTTGACTACTAGCATCAGGGGAGCTTGTCAAAATGAGTCCACGCGTTTAGGAGTCTTGTCTGGGCATCGGCGCCGCCCACCCCCGCCACCTAACTCGCCTGTGGCTACGCGGCCTTCCCTCGATGCCTACATATCCACCCTACGCGGCCCGATGCCTAGCGTTTTGGACACAGCCACAGACAGAAAGACACAGGTGGAACACATTGTCGCAAAAATGAAAGGTAGACCACAACTCAATGGTTGCTGTAAAATCAGCTCTTGTTTTGAAAAGTTTAGGCATTCCTAGATCCATGGAAGTGTAGGTTTGACCGTGCTCCGTATTCAGCCTGGCAGCCATGACACTTTGCCCCCACCGGGTCATGGGAAAGGGCTGATAACGTTTGTTATATGTTTAATATTCATTGTGAGCCTTATAACAAAATATTAAATCATCAAATGTCATTCCTCTTAAATGTTCATTCCTAAATAAATCAAACCTAGCTGTTAGCTTACTTCTCAACATGCTGTCGATGACGCAGTAATTTTAATACTATTACGTTTTAACTGCATTGTAGTTTTCTATTTCAACCTAACTTAAGTCAAATATGTACATGAAACCAACCAAAGTAATTACCTAAACATGATTTAGTCATGATAGTGTGATGGTATAAAGTTGACATGTCTTTCAAAAGGTTTGTTTTTGCCGTTAGCGCTAGCATACACAGTAACTGCTCTCCCGTGGGGAGGCAACTAGGCCAGGGGCAGCAGTGGAGCAGGTTAACGACGTGATTTTGCACACATACATATATATATATAAACACATTCGTGAAATACAATATTATGTCTTTAACCAGTTTGTTATTTATTTTTTATTAATTATCAGTTATCTTTTATCAGAAAAGTGTATTTCACTTAACCATTGAATATAACTGTTTATTCTTAAATAGATTTTATTGGCGCTAAGAGGCGCTAAGAGTCAGACAGAAAGACACAGGTGAAACACATTAAAGGCGGGCAG